ACTATCAGTTTTGCTTAAGTTGCACACTAGTGTTGTAGGAGAGGGGAAATGGAATATTTACGGGATTTGTAGTCCATAGCGAAGTGTATTGTGGGTAGTGTAGTGCGACACGCATGCTGGATGATGTTAACTCTCTGTGTTCTGTGCAGCTAGCAGAGCAAGAAAGTTTTAATCGGCTTTGTTTTATGTTCACTCGAATTATTCCTACCGGGAGCTGTTTGCACTGTGAATCTGACAACACGAAAATAAGTAAAAGAATGTCATGCATTAATTACTTTTGTCCGTCTCATCATCTGCACGAGCATGAATTAACGAGCTGTTATTCTGCCGCTGGACATTACTGAAGCGGAGAAAGCAACACTAGTTTGATCATGTATAAATATCATTATAACTATATTGTATAAATATGATTATAACTAGGTCTACAGCAACCTGATAATCAAAAAACAAATGACATGATATCACAGGCGATTGTCTTCTGACTGTAGACAATTCTCATATAAGTTAGCTTTAGAAGCATACAGTACTATTTGATCTTTAAAATTTGTAAAATAAACATTTGCAGGTTAATGAAACAGCATAGGAGGGGCCTTGGTACAGATGAAAAGTTTAAAAAGTGTATTTGTATATAGAGGGATAACTAGATAGAATAGACAGAGATAGGTTGATCTCAGCAGCAGCTGCCGAAGAGCTGCGCGCTGCAGACGCAGCTGGTGTGAAAGGCAAACGCCTGCGTGCTGCTACTGCTCGACATACGCGCTGCTCACGCTCTGCTCACGCGCCGCTGACGCTTGCGGTGTGAAACAGGCGTGAGACGTATTTGGCACTTTCCAGAAATGTATATATAGGTACGTTTTCAGTATGAGCCAGGGTTTAAAAATGGCTTGTATTCTGTGTTGCTGTACAGCCCAATATGTGTTAGATCCAAGACCAGATGACGCCAACCATAGACTTCTAGTGGCATCCATAATCCTGGACCAGGCCGTATCCTGAGCAGATGCTGCGAGGGTTATGGAGGAGTGGAGAGCATGAGACCTTACTGAATTTCCTGGAAGACCTCAGTGACAGATTAGTCTCCGCATTGATCCTGTGGCCAGCCTGAACACCCCTAGAGAACTACACACACCTACATGTCCTTCACGATGAATGTCCAGCGTTCTCCAGCCTCTGGTTCCTAGACTGCAGCTCTGCACAAGAAGTTTGGCCAGAGGAGAAATAGTCGTGCCCAACTGAGCCTGACTTCAAGTTTTTTTTTTTCCTTCACTTTGGTCAGTTGGTGAAGTTTTGACTTGTGGAGCTGCGCATCGAAAACTTCAATTCTGAAAACTGGACTGACAGTTTAAATTTACTAAAACTTCCATGTTAAGTTGCTTTGACACAATAGTAAAAGCGCTATACAAATAAAGATGAATTGAATTGAAGTTTTATTTATTTATGTTATTTTATTTATCTTATTATTCTTATATATTTATTTTTGTTTTGCCCTAAATATTGTATTTGATGTAAAAATATATAATTGTGCTGTTTTATTTAGAGAGGATGTGAACTAATTTGTTTTCTACTGATTGGAACAATTAAAGTCTTGTGATTCTTTGTACTCATTCTGAAAATCTGTCTAATATGTATCAATAAAACAGTGTTAAACTAAAAATAACTTTCATAGAAGCCACTCAAATATGACAGGCTGAATTGACAGGTTGTGCAATATGACAGTTTAATACATAATAATGTGACTAAACCCCGCCTCCACCTAACATCAAAACCCACTTCCACATCATTTAACTCCACCCACCAATTCAGACTTCAGGTCACAATACCAAGCTTTCAGAAAGACTGAAAAATCAAAGAAAATACTGTGCCAATTACATCAGATCCAACAGCACACCAATATGAGTAAATGCTTTTATTATATGTTCACTATTGAGTTGTCTGTCATTACAGATTGTTTGGTATTTTACTCAGTATGAGAGTGTTTTAAACCTAAATCACAGCACAGAGTCCATCTATGCAGTAGGAGGTCAAACAGCTACTCATTTCAACTTTTGAAAAAGCTTAAATACGCAAACTAATCCAACCATACCGTTCATTTACTTGAGTTTACAAATCGCCATGCATATATAAATAGCGTGTTCTGATAAACAATACAGAAAATAGCAAATTGCTTCAAAATGATACACAGATCTTAACATTACAATTAAACCTCAGAGAACAGTAAATAATCTTTAAAAACTAATTTCATGGATGCTTAAATAATTTGTCTGTTTCTTTATACTATGTGCAAATAACCTTGTTGGAAGAGGCTCTATCACTATTTTCAGGTTCAGTGTCTGTTGAAGCTTAGGAAATTTATCTTTAATCCAAACAGCAATTGACTTCTGTTTACACTGTGAAAAGCACCTATAACTATTTGTTGCGTAAGTGTAAACAAGATGCTGTTTGTTGACACCTACACTTGGTTGCAAGCACTATTTTCAATCTGTATCTACCAGCAGTTCATGATGATATTGATTTTACGGACATTTCTTGTTTACTTTGGGGCAGTTCTGGGTCACCAATTATTTTCTCCAGCAAATGCAGCGAAGAACTGATTTGAAGTATTTCTATTTTACCTACAGTACGTGTAATAAAATGTCCTCAGTAAACTGATGACAATGTAATCCCAGAAATATAGGAGACTGCTTTAACCCAACACCCAAAGTGTATCACTGACTAAAATAAAAATGTTCTTGTAAAAAGTCTCCAAAGCGAAAGGAAATCAACAGATCAAAAACACAAGCAGTTCTAACACATCCGGTCAGACAAAAGCTAATTGGAATTTTCTGTAAGAGGCTTTCTTGACCAATGTTAATTACATCTTTGAAAGTAAACGTTTCTGTTTTAAAAAGGAGGTCGTGAAATGAGAAATCGAATTTCCCTTGATCTTTTCACATATAAGAAGTCAATGAACTATAAAACATGCTGCAAGTTTCAGAACTCAAAGCTTCATTGTTAGTCTAAACAAAAGCATTTATTGTAACCGAGCTACCCGAATGGCTCATTTCAGGTTTAGGGCTCTATTTTAATGATCTAGGCGTAAAAGTCTAAAGCAAGTGAGTTATGGGTGTGTTTTGAGCATGACGTGCAATAAACCAATCAGAGTCCCATCTCACATTCCCTTTAAGAGTCAGTTACGTCGCACCATGGCGCATTCACTATTTACATGGCAGACTTTGTGAGTGGAAAAATTGATAGCTTCACTAGTGAGTTAACTGTTTAACACACCATCTGCGTAAGGATAAAGAATGAGCCTCCTCCATTTGGTCTCTTTACTTTTACTCTTTGCTTCACACCTATTATTTCATGGATAAGGAAATGGTGTTAAACTCACTCCACTGAAGACATCCATTAGCGTACATATTTAGTTTCATTTGAAAAACTGAGTTCTATCCAAACACACGTTTTATCTTTATGCCTCATATGGTGTTGCATACGTCTCCAAAATCCGACAGGTGGACAAATCTTAACTTGTTTTTAATAAAACAAATATAAATATGCATATAATAAACAATACTACAACAAATAATAACATTATACAAATGCTAATTATCGTGAATAAACTGAAAAAATCCCCCTGAGAAGAGGTATGGAGGTAGTGGTTTTATATTAATGTAAAAAACAATCATTTTTGTAACATTTTAATCCTTTAATTTTTTTCATATGTAAAGATATGTGTATTACTGTACATACAGATTGCTTAAGACACAGAGGAAGCATTGGACTTTAGACCTGCTTTTAGTTGGTCAATAGCATGGGTCTATTTCAGTTCCTTAAAATAGCAAAGCATCAACAATGTGCCTTAACACACCTCCTTTTCACACTAGCACACTCATGAGTGCACAAAGTGGAGCAAATAGATTTGCTATTTAAACAACGTGGTGCAAAATTACTGTTGCGCTGGTCTAAAAATAGCAACAAATCACACCGTGCACGTCTTGTGCTTTATTGCGCCAGGTGTGTGAGAGGACCCAAAGTTTCTATTTGACAGAAGATGATAAACAACTTTTTTAGCCCCACCCACTGGTTCACTCCAGTAGTAAATACAAAATGCAAACTCAAGCAAAAAAAAAAAAAAAAAAGACTTACACAAGGATTAAAAGATTACCTGTATAGTTAAGAGTGTCAAAAATTTAACAAAACATCAATGAAAGGGTGAATAACATAACAGAAAATTGTCTAAATTATCTAATCGAAATAATTTTTTGATGCAAATAAATTATAAGTGGATATTTGACATTATAAAATTAGCTGTACAATCATCACTCACGACCACACTGTAAAATTGCAAAAATATCATGTAATATAATAGCAGGTTCGCCTTTAATGGGTACGTAACGTATATGGTAATACTCTGTGAAACAAGAAGTTTAATTTTTACAGTAATATTTCAGTGATTAACAATCATCTTTTGCCTAATATAATAATTATGAAAATGTTTCTAGATGAAATGAGTTGCCTTCAGTTTTTAATGTTTTACCACACAATTTACTTTAAACACAAGTTTAATATAAAAATAGCTCCATGTCATTCTTTTTTAAAGAATGTACACTACAAAATGAGTGGCTTTTTTACTTGCATATTTAAGTTGAATCAAAATAACGTTGTCATTTCAAATATCGAATTAAACTATTAAAATCTTGTAAAACTCAAAAACAAGCTGAATAAGTTAAACCATTTGAAGTTAAAGTAAAATAAAAACAGAAGTTGCCATAACTTACTGATCACAAATTTTTGCAGTGAATTTTAATAGGGAAAGACTTTAACCTGCATGCTGCTGTAAAAACATAATTAAAAAATCTTATCTAATCGTATCTTTAATGTAAAATTGCATATCTAATAGAACATTTCATGTAATTTTACAAAAAATATTTACAGTAAAATTGTAAACGTTACAATTACTACATACACAAATTCATAGTTTTTTTATTATATCTTTTATTATATCTATTTTTAATGTATCATGTTATATCTTCTGCAATATTGGATTCTAGTACATTAGGCTGTTGTTTAATCTTTTAATAAAACAATTGTGCTTTACTATGAAGTAGAAGTTTTCTCCATAAAACTAAAAATTCACCATAATTGTTTCTGCACACTTTTTTTTTTCAAGATATAAACATTTAAAATGTTTTTTGGCATAAACAACATCATGAAACTCCAGCTGTTACCTGCTTGTGTCTGCAGAGGTGATGGCGATGAGCGGAGGAACTCTCAGGGGGAGGCTGGTGGGTCGAGGCTGGACCGTCTCCGTCTCTGGTCTCCTCTCACAGTAATACTGCTCAGCCTGCCTAAAGGCCAAAGGGGGAAGCTGGACAGTCCTGCACGAAAGCCTGCGCACCGCAAAGGGCTCCATGCAGGACAGTGGACAGGAGTCTGGGGACTCAGTTGAGCAATCCGACAC